ATCTTTTTCTTGTTTAAATTGGTTGAGTATATATCTTCGAAACTTAGGGGGTGTTTGTTACGCGGATTCTATTTAGTAACCTCGGAAAGCAAGGTGGGAAAAGATTTTATACCACGTTTGGTACTCAAAAATGCATTGGTTTCCCGGGTTAAAATATTACCCGTTTTTTTTCTTTTGTTTGAATAATTTCGTACGGCTCTGGAAAGGTGATGTCTTTCGAATATGTGGGATACATTTTTGCCGGAGGAAGTGAAAATAAAACCGTGAAGAAAAGGACCAAAATAACCTTGTGATTGTACGTTTGCATCAGAAATGAAAATGGTGAAGTGACTTGGTGCGTTTCGTGAATATGACATATTGATCCGTCCATGAGCTCTGCTCTTAACTGAGGACGAAGAACGTTGTAGCTACCTTTCTTATTGGTATTTGTCTTCCCGAATGAGGTTTGCATGTGTATTTTGTAGATTGTCCATGTCGTGGGTTTGGGGTTCTGTATTTTGTAAATGCATGTGTAATATGGTTTCCATTTTGCAGTTCGTTCTTGCTGAGCAATCCGTGCAGTGACTTCTATTTGTTGGTGGGGTTATTTTGGTAAAATAACCTCACATTCTCACTAATATTTCATAACCAACCAAACACAAACTCAGTAAAATTAATCATATTTTTCTGGGAAAATACAGGTATACCAAACAGTTTTTTAGCAATATTTCAGTAAAATATATTTTCAACTACATTCCAATAATAATTATTTTCCAGATAAAAAAAATTTTCTCCTGCACTAAACGCTCCCTTAGAATTTATCTTGATTTTTTGCAAGTAATCGAGTATGTTCAGTACTTACAGGAGAAGGTACAAAAATACGAAGGCTCTTATCATGGTTGGAGTCAAGAGCCCTCGAAGTTGATGCCATGGGTAAATTAGAAACTCTCTTGTGACTATAGTCTTTATGAAACTCTCTCATTAGGGGGTGTTTGGGAGGAGGAAAAAAAAATGCCAGAAGGGTTAGATGATGAAAATAATTCAATCATATTTGGTAGGAGTAAATAAAACGCCGGCAATTTTTTTTGTCGGGAATCATTTTTTGCACGATATTTTTATGAAGGAAAAAATGTGTGTGATTTTAGAATATGTAAAATTGTGTAATTTTAATAGAGATAAAGAGATAGATAAAGGAGGAGAGAGAGTTGACAAAAAAAAGGTGTGGGTCCCATCTCTTTGTAAGAGTGAAAGGATATAAGTTGTGTCATTTAAAAGGATAAACACTTTTCCCTATTATGAAACAGTGTCATCCAAGGTATAGTAAAAAAATTTTGTCCACAACATAGGAATGCCAACACACATTTTCTTATCTTATCCAGCAATAAATTTTGGCTTACTAGACACCTTTTCTTATCTTACGCGGCAATAAATTTTTCTCATCATGTTCCCTGGTAAAAAAAATATCTCCTCCACCAAACATCTCCTAACAATTATTTGATTTATTATTTTTGTTTTAGTGATTTATCTTGACAAGCTCCTCTTTTGAGTCCTTTTAAGGATTCTAGCTTTTTGTGTATCTGTCATATTCTTTATTGATTGAATCCCTAGCAGGCTTTGTTCAAACTGTATGTTGTTTTTTTTTGGCAATCGAGTTTGTCCCAGTGTTTTAAAATCCCACCCTGCCTCCCGGGTTGACTCGGGTCAACTCTAACCCCTCCCCTCTGAGGGTTAGGGTCACAAGTTGGACCCTATATGCACATCGACCCTTCTGATCCCCAAAACCCGGGCAGGTTTCAGTGACTCCCTGGTCAGAGGGTCAGAGGGGGTCACTGCATGTTTTTTTTTTTTTTTTTTTTTAAATTCCATGAAACAACTTCATTTTGTTAAAAAAATAAAATAAAAATGCTTGCAAACCTAAATCTAATCGTTCTCTTCTCTCTCAGCGACCTATATGTCTTCAATCTTCACCTCGCAGACGTGAATCTTCTAGAAAACGTAAGAATTTTATCTATTCAAATGAAATCCTTACGGTCGTCGATGGAAAACAAAAATTCATTCTTACTTCCTTTAGATTTTCCTTTGTCAGGGACCTTCTCCAAAGAGGCAGAACCGGGTCAACGTATTGATCCCATTAGAATATGAGTTTTGTACTTCAGTATCTTGATACTTTAATTAGGTTGTGTAATATTGTCTTGTGGTTGTAATTAGGGAATTATGTTAAGTATATTTTGAATCTTTGATGATTGATGATTTATTTTTTAATATTTTTATATATGATATATATATTTATATTTTTTTAATATATAAAATCGGATCAGCATAGTGACCCCGTGACCCCCCAGTTGAACCCGTGACTCCATGACCCCTGATCTCGTTCGGGTCGATGGCCGGGCCGAGTTTTTAAACACTGGTTTGTTCAATTCTGTTGCTTTTGATTGAACTTAAGTACTTAACTTATTGTACCAAAAAATAAAAAAGTACTTAACTTATAATATATGCTTGACGAACTGAAAATTGAAGGAGGGACAACTAGCATCTCGAGTGTCTACTCCCAAGGGTGGGTAATCACAATTTTTTTTTTTGTATATATATTTCTGTAAATATTTATGATTGCATGTAGGGATGTAAATGGGCCGGGTCGGGCTGGGCTTTGGCTTTAGCGGCCTAAGCCTACGTAAAAATATATTGAGCCTATCTGGCCTATCAGCCTATCAAAGACTTAGGTTATAGGTCAAGCTCGGCCTATTGTTAAAAAATAAAAAGCCTATCATGGCCTATGAGACCTTTTAAGCCTACGAAGTTGTAAATTAAACTAAAATAAAAAAAATATCTCATTCATTATAAAATAATGTTCAACCAAGATCCAAATTATAAAAATTCTCAAATGTTTTTTAACAAGAACACACAAATTTTTAAATAATATTCATGACAACAAAGATTGTTTTTTTTTTTTGGCAGCTTTCACAATCTTCTTCCTAGCCGTCTCCAAGCCGCCTGACAGAAAATGGGTTTGAAGAAATTTGGGTGATAGCGTAGGAGAGTGACAATTGAGATGAGATACGGTGCATAGAATTAGGGCTAGTGACTTAGTTCAGATAAATAAATATTAAATACAATAAATATTTTTTAAATAAACAGGCCGGCCTACACGCTTTTCAGGCCGAGCTTTGTGTTATTGGCCTACGGCCTATTTATTTAAAAGGCTTTCCCATAAGCCTAGACCCGCTCTAATTATTAAATAGGTCGGGCCGGACTGGGCCTAACATAAGTCGAGCTATAGGCCCCTGTAGGCCGGCCTAGCCCATTTACATCCCTAATTGCATGGCTTGTTTGTTATAGATGTTTGCAACACTCTATTTTATTTTTATTTTTAAACTTTCTTGTTATGGTTTTAAAAATAATCTGCTAGTCATTGTTTGAGTTATAATCTAATGCTTGTCAGCATAACATGTTCATGAAGATCTCAGTAATGCTTTGACACTAGGCGAATTCAAGGTGACATGATATGTATGTTGATTTTACGTCCCATGTTTCATTTCATTCTCTTAAGTTGTGTACGATTATGGAGAAGAGAATCCAATCTGGGGCCGCCTTCGTCCTGGTTAATGATCCTGAGTAAACAGCTGGAATTCTTGATTGAGTTAGGCCACTCAATTAAGGATGTAGGTAATTTTCCATTTTGAGCTAACTGTTGACATTGAGATAGGCCACTTAATTAATTTTAATATGATATCAGAAAGATTGATGTCCAATCTTCAAACTTCACGAGTACTGAACTGTGTCAAAAGTAAGTGTAGTGTTGCTGCTTTAGCAGGACTTGGCAGCAGCAGGGTACAAGGCAACCAAAAAATCCCCGATTTTTATCAAAGCTAACAAGTATCATCAACATGTTCAAAGATAAAGAAGCGACTAAATGCATAAAACTTTGGGACAGAAGTTATCTAAGAATAATGATGGGCTTTATTAATCTCCATCAATAGGATAGAAGTATCTCATACCACTCTCACAATCATGTGGTGGAACCCGCATAATTATAAAATAAAAAATAAAAAAGCTCAAGAATCGATGTCTCTGTAGGAAAATAAACCTATCTCCTATGGCATAAGACTAGTTTTTTCCAATAATGATTGCTTAACCTATATTGAATAACTTAGCACAATGTAAAAACATGTCATGTTATTATTTGAGATCGAACCAGCAAACATGTAGACTTTGCAAAAATTAATATATTAATATTATCCTGTAAAAAACTATTGAATTGTTCGTAAACATATTATTACAGGAAAAATCAAACCATCAGCACTACTTTTAGAAAACGGATAATTGATTATTACAATTCATCCCCTTCAGCTGACAATTAACAGTAAAGAGCAAGCTGCTTTCGCGAAAACCCAGAACCCCATAACCATAGAGATATCCTTCCCAACTCGCAACACATCGGTAATTAAACAATCCTTCAGGGGTGTGTTTGGTACAAGAAAAAAATTTTGGTGACCGGAAATCATGATTAATAGGAATTCAGTAGAAATTGAGTTTACTTGAAATCTTACGAAAGAGGTGATTGGTTCGCCAAAATATTACCGGGAATATTAAGTAAAAATTATTGATTCCATATTTGGTTTAGAACGAAATATGACTTGGAATATGAGGTTATTTTACAAAAATAACTCCAAACTATTTTTACTTTTGTAATTGATAGATTGAGTCTAGATTTTTATGTGTATTGGGGTATTTTTGTCTCAAAATTTATTGTTGTGCTTTCCCTTTACTTGGTATTCTGATTGGTATTCCGAATTACCATATTATTTTTGGTAATCTGAATAGTGACTTTTCTTTATAAATCAAATTACCGGTAATCCTTGGATATCCGGGAATCATAATTTATTCCTTCTACCAAACATGGTAATTACATTTACCAAAGAAGGATTACCGGTAATCCTCTTTAAAAACTTGAAACAAACACCCCCTCAAAGTAAGTAATTCAGTGTGCAGAAAGTAATGTAATAACTTGAATTGCCATTCCAGCCAGAGAGCTACGGGGTTTCCCAGAAAATAAACTTACAAGTTTCAAAGAGGAATGATAAATAAAAAGGGAAATAAAGGAAATGAAATCATAATATCAAAATACAAACAACTAATCGGCTCACCACTTCTGTCAAGCACAATTACAACAGTTCTTCCAACCCTCGCTTTGAACTAAAGCACTCATCCAAATCTCATAAACCAGAACTATGCTAACAATCCTTCGTTCCCCGAAACCTATATAGCCTTATTCTTCTCATCCTATAGTCATCTGTATTGCTCAACTTCAAACGAAGTACCAAGCCTCTGTCTCTGCCTCTAACCTAAGGTTATGGATTTCCTCTTGGCAAATGCCGGATAAGCAGCTCTTGAAACATCTCCAGAAACAATGTCCATTCATATTCAGTCATATCAAACAGGAATTTATCATCTCCCAACACAGTCCTAGGAGACAGTTCCTCCCTCCCAAGTGCAGGCTGAAAAGGTTCTCTGGTTAGAGGATCATCCATAGCCATCTTCGGAGTGATATCTGATCCAACTTCATCATAATATATATCAAACAGGGCTTCATCATCTCCCAACTCAGTTCTAGGAGACAGTTCCTCCCTCTCTAACAACATCTTCCTCGCCTCCAAACAAACAACCTCAAGTTCACTGGGTTCCTCCTTACCACCAGGGAACTTCCTACTCATCATCCCACCGATTTCAGTAAGACACAGACCAAAAGCAGCAGCCTCCTTGAGGAAAATGGTGCAGAGTGCCAAGACTCTGAGACAAGCCTCTCGAATCATGGGCAGTTCCATTCTGAGCATGTCACAATCTCGAAAAGGTTCAAGTTTACGAATGTAGGCAAGCTCAGCCTCAGAAAATGGAATTGAAGACTGACGCCAATAAAGCCACTCGAAGGACGGGTCCTCCAAAGTTTCTGGCAGGCAAAGCCCATGATCAATAGGAATTAACTCCACCTGACCAAAAGTCCCAGAGCCATCATCAATTTTTCTAACTAACAAGTTCCCACCATGTCTATCCGTGTTTAGGATCCTAATGTCTAATATCCCTATCCGATGCACAGAAGCAACTGGGAAGCTAGATGTCCCACGATCCCTGGCATCAAAATCATGAGGAATGAACTGCTGTAAAGATGCAATCTTGTTAACCAGCCTCTTCCTCGAGAAATTGTTACCACTGACCCCATCATTGACATTGAAGATCGAGTGAGTAATCTTAACCAAGGCAGTAGGAGGCACATTTGCAAATTGATCATGGTCAAGAAGATAAGCTGCAACTTCCCTGAACCCTGTCTCCCCTAGCCGAACTGAACGTCTCACTCCTGGTTGTCCAAGAGCTTTACCAAAACGGACTTTTGGGTTGTTTGGGGCAAAAGGCTCCTCATCTGTTGGTTTCACAATTGTGTTGGGTATGGCTCATACTTCACATTATGATGTTGGCGGTGAGGTGAATAGAGTACAGACAAGCTGAACGTAGCCTATATTGGGTGAACTAGGGTAAATCATCGTGTCAATCTCTCTACTCTTATCTCTTTTTCTGTTTTCTCGATTCTGTGTGATTGTCGATTTCCAACAAATTGCAACCCTATCACCCCTGCTATTCCGGAAATAGTATGCACCTCCAAGCCCACTACTATGAACAGGAACCGGATCTATCCCCATCATAACCGCCTTCATAATGTCCTTGACCATATGTTTCATTCTATCAAGACGACTCGATTGCCCTAAGATCTCAATAGGACCACTCTTGTCCCTTTGCTGGATATCCCTTCCAGTGAGGGACAGGCAAGGAGCGGATGAGCTTCTGTGCAAAAGATTCCTTGTGAGGAGAAGGGGGGAATCATTCCTAACGGTGCTAAGGTCATTCATCAATACAATATCCCCAAAAGTTAGTGAAGTCTCTTCTATGGGGACATTGAGTGCAAGACACAATTTCCTCTTCACAGTATTTGCATTGTCAAGACGATCCAATTCCATGCCCAGGACACACCCCTTTTCGGTTTGCACAAAGACACGTCTCCTCCCTCTAGGTTGTCTCTCCCCCATGCTCTGTTTCCCATGGAATACCACAGTCATCTGGGTCTGAACAGGACTGTCTAATATAAAGGTTAAATCAAAATTCAAAGCGCGTAAGAACTCACCGCCACATACAAGCTTACATACATGAATCACACGGAAAGATGACTAGATTCATTCCACCTCAAAAAAGTAAAAACAAATGCAAAAGTTAACTAAGTTTTCAGTTTTTGAACATTTACCGGCCATTATTTCTACAAAGCCTTACATACACAGGCAATTAACAAGCATTAGAAAGAATAATGAATGAGCATTTTGATGAGAAACCTCCACAATAACTTGATACAATCAATGATTCAATTACTTTACATAAAAAATGAAAAATGAAAAATACCTTCAAACAAGGGAATGAAATTGAACAACGTTGATTGAGCTGAGCTTCGGATTCGAACTCGCTGCAATCTATGCGAGATCTGAACGGGACGAAAAACAGAACCCTTGGTCGGAATAAAATAAAAAATTCGTGTGGGTCCTAGGTGGTAACCAAGGGGACCGAGTCCCAGGATGAGGCAACTCGTCCGAGTTGACTCGGAGGATTTCTTGTCCAAGCAGCCACAACAGCACACAAAAACTCCAACCTTCCTTCCCTCCCTATGTTCCTCTTTCTAGTCTTTATTTTCTTCTTCTTCTTTGAATTTCTCGCAGCTCGTTTGCTCGCTCAGCTCTCGTTAACGCTTGGAACGTCCTTACTATAACCCATTGCGTGGAGCCAGGTTAACCTAAGGAATTTTTTTTTGGGTTTGCGTATAAAGAAACTTGCTATACACCACTCTAAAAATTAGCTCAAAAAGTAAAGTGCCTAATGTCTTATAAATTTCATATTAGTTATTCATACAACTAATGTTTATATTTCTCGACACGCCCCCCTCACACAAGAGCCCATTGGACAATGCTACAGGCCCAGTCTACCTGTTCTAAGAAACGCCACAAGAGAAAATGGAGAGCGGCGAGGCTCTGATACCATGTAAAGAACCTTGGGATACAAAAAAGTTTCTTACCCACGTAACATTTTGTGGGACCCACACTTTTTTGAAATAAAAAAAACGAATCTCTACAACGTTACACAATCACTCTTCCTACAAAAATAACTTTTATAAAACCCTAGTAACACTGTTGTACCGAACTAGGGACACCCGTGATATTAAAAAAAAGTACATCGATGATATTAAAAAAGTTTCTGCAGCTTCCAAGAAAGTGAAGGATGGAACTGTTGGTTAGTCAAGTTCCGCGGACAGAGTCAAAAGCTTAATTGAGTCAACATACTTGTTGCCCAAGTTCAGCTACATCAAGAAGAAAATTTATCTATATATAACGTCAATTAATGAGTTTCAATTGCATCAATTAGCAGAGTCACCCAAATCCAAGTATATTGAGCACGAATTCTAAGTGAGCGCCAGGAGCACACGCACATAGCTTTTTTCTTCCGCATAAATTTCATAGCCAACCTTTTGATTCTGCTTGAGCTTGACACTGTAAACCTTGGTTTGTGCATTCAATAGCAAAATGGGTGCTAAGGGCAACAAGAAAAGATGGTTTACATCCTCGTTAAGATCCTTTATGTTGTTATCTTGTTGTAAAGATGTGAAGACAAATACAAAAGCTGTTGCAGCCAGTGGACCTGAGGCTGCCATGGTTGCCGCATCAAAGCATTTCTCCTCAGCCCACAAAGTGAAATTCAATTAGTTTCGGCCCAATAACTCACTTCAGTCATTGTTATTGGGCTTACGCAGAAGAGACCCACCAAGACACTCAGCTATTATGGGCATGTTTGATGCATAGTATAGGATAAGGCCTGATAGTCTAAGACCTGATAGTATAAGACCTGATTAAATTTTAATACTATCCAGCATTTGGTATGATATTGCATAAAGATAATATTCTCCAATATTTTAAAAATCAATATATTAAAAAAATTATTTTAATATATAAATATTGAAATGATATATTAGTTCTTGGGAATTGTACTTGTAAGTAATATTAATACATTAACACCTTATCAGGCCTAATCCACCACTCCTAGACCTGATTAAGTTATACATCATTTTGATGTATAAAGAGATCCTGTTGTATAAGTTTATACTATACAATGATTACACCAAATAACTGAAAATATCATAATGTATAGTATAAGCTTATATTATCATGCCTTATACATCATACCAAACAGGTCCTAAGGGAGTACATAATGGGCTGATATCCACATCTGGAATCTAGGACAATTAGTTTATCTTGTCATATTATTCAGTTTCAGCATTTGAATTATTAGAAGTTATCTGTATTCAATAAATTAGGATAGTTATAGTTATCTTAACCTTATCTTAGTTTAGCATTAGTATTTCAATTCAAATGTAATTACTATTTTTTTTATAATTTGGGCCCATAATCAAAACCGAAACCCCAATTCTACGAAATAGTGTAGACTGAGAAAAAGGTTCCTTTTTTAAACCCAAAGAAAGGGGATAGTAAATTCGTTATAGAATTTTTACCGAACTAATCTAGTGTGTCAATGATTGACTCTTTTTATAAATAAAATGAATAGCTGTAAGAAAATGAATAACGCAATATACAAATTACAAATAATAACATCATGATTCAAATCTAAACTTAAATTCAAATAGTAACATCATCTTATAATTAAAATGCCGATATGATCCTAGTCAGATTCTAGTCATCCTATAATTCAAATGTAGATATGATTCTAGTTAGATCTTAGTCATTCTATAATTCGAATTGCATAAATGACAAAAAAAATTAAGAAAATAAACAAATGGTTCGTTTTTTCTAAAGTTACTTTAGACAACTTTGTTTAATGTTCACTGAAATGACGTCGTCTTATGGCGAAAATCATGGTGTATTTTTAATTCTAATTTAAGGCAGCTATACAAAAACACCATGAATACAAATGAATAGTTGTATAGAAATGAATAAGGCAGCTATACAAAATTACAAAATACAAATACCAACGTTATGATTCAAATCTAAACTTAAATGTAAATAATAACCTGATGATTCAAATCTTAACATAAATGCAAATAGTAATGTCATTTTATAATTCAAATGCCGATATGATTCTACTCAGATCCTAGTCAAATGAGAAATAAAATTGTGTTTGTGATAATAAAATATGTCAAATGAGATGTCATTGCGTAGATCTCAAAAAGTTATGTGGAATCAAAAAAATAATTACCTGATTTGAATACCCGAGTCAAAAGTTATGGCTTTCAGAAGTTTTATGATTAAATTATTTTTTTTTGGAAAAAGTATGACACGTGTCAATACCAGATGCCCCTAGGGTGAGACGCCTCACCGGGGCGTCACAGTGTGTAATAAATTCGTAATTATTCCCGAAACTGCAATAAATGTGTAATTATTTAATTAAAATGCATTAAATTAATTTTTTTACCTCATAACATTTCTTAAGTTTGGCAAAAATAAAATTCTTAACTTAGTGCATGATTGTAATGTTAAGACTTAAAGTTGGGATAGGATATTGTGACACACAAATAATGTTACGCACAATGTTACGACCACATCTTAACTGTTGATTTTCGTCAATCAACGATTATCGTTTATTGCGAATTAATAATTAATTAATGAGTTTGATTTGTAAAATAATAACCGTTGATTGACAGAAATCAACAGTTAAGATGTGGTCGTAACATTGTGCGTAACATTATTTATGTGTCACAATATCCTATCCCATTAAAAAGTTTTAGCATTTAATTCAACTTTATTCTAACATTCTAACTCTTCACTCGGCAAGTGATTATAATATTAAAACTTATAGCATAAGTAGGGAAAAAAATTTAATTATTGCATTTTAATTAAATAATTATGTATTTATTGCAGTTTCGGAAATAATTACGAATTTATTGCACACTGTGACGCTCCAGTGAAGCGTCTCATCTTAAGGGAAAGACACCCCAATGGGGCGTCTTTCATCTGGTGTTGACACGTGTCATACTTTTTAAAAAAATAATAATAATTTAATCATAAAACTTCTGAAGGCCATAACTTTTGACTCGGGTATCCAAATCAGGTAATTCTTTTTTTGATTCCACGTAACTTTTCGAGATCTACGCAATGGCATCTCATTTGATATATTTTATTTCTCACAAACATAATTTAAAATTGCCTCCCATATATAGTGTTTGCAGTCTTTTCATAGTAGTCTTTTCATTTGCAAGGATTAGTGAATAAAAAATTGTGATTCGAATTGCATAAATGACAAAAAGGAATTTAAGAAAAAAAGGAATAAAATCGAAACCCCAATTCTACGAAATAGTGTAGATTGAGAAAAAGGTTCCTTTTTTAAACCCAAAGAGAGGGGATGGTAAATTCGTAATAGAATTTTTACCGAACTAATCTAGTGTGTCAATGATTGACTCTTATTATAAATAAAATGAATAGCCGTAAGAAAATGAATAACGTAATATACAAATTACAAATAATAATGTCATGATTCAAATCTAAACTTAAATGCAAATAGTAACATCATCCTATAATCCAAATGCCGATATGATCCTAGTCAGATTCTAATCATCCTATAATTCAAATGTAGATATGATTCTAGTTAGAGCTTAGTCATTCTATAATTCAAATTGTGATTCGAATTGCATAAATGACAAAAAAAATTAAGAAAATAAACAAATGGTTCTTTTTTTTCTAAAGTTACTTTAGACAACTTTGTCTAATGTTCACTGAAATGATGTCGTCTTGTGGCGGAAATCATGGTGTATTTTTAATTCTAATTTAAGGTAGCTATACAAAAACACCATGAACACAAATGAATAGTTGTATAAAAATGAATAAGGCAGCTATACAAAATTACAAAATACAAATACCAACGTTATGATTCAAATCTAAACTTAAATGTAAATAATAACCTGATGATTCAAATCTAAACATAAATGGAAATAGTAATGTCATTCTATAATTCAAATGCCGTTATGATTCTATTCAGATCCTAGTCAAATGAGAAATAAAATTTTGTTTGTGATAAATAAAATATGTCAAATGAGATGTCATTGCGTAGATCTCAAAAAGTTATGTGGAATCAAAAAAAGAATTACCTGATTTGGATACCCGAGTCAAAAGTTATGGCTTTCAGAAGTTTTATGATTAATTTTTTTTTTTTTGGAATATGTCAACACCAGGTGAAAGACGCCACATTGGGGCGTCAAAGTGTGCAATAAATTCGTAATTATTCTCGAGACTGCAATAAATACGTAATTATTTAATTAAAATATATTAAATTAATATTTTTGCCAGCATAAGCATTGAATTCAACTTTATTCTAAAATGTAAAAATTATAGATAAATTTTAGATCTATATCATCCTATTTTTCAAAAAATTTAATGAAATAAATAAACAAATTAAAAATTATTATAAAAACGTTTTTTTTAAACTTAAAAGAAATTTCATCAATTAGCAATATCAGTTTCGAGTAGAAAAATAATTAAATCTGGCAGAAAGTCTACCTAATTATTAGGGAAGTATTTTTTGTTAAAAACTTATTGTTTATATAAAATAAAATAAAACACGAATAATTAATAGCTGTCAATACCCTCTTAATTGCAAGCATGAACTAATTATTTTTCATAATTATTATGATTTGGGGAAAGAGAAGGGAAAGGAAAGGGTTTATTGCCAAATGAAGAGGGCTCATGAGACGCGCGTGAGGTTAGCCACATGCTATCTTTCCTTGTCTCTCCGGTGGTGACTCATGTCCTTTGCCGGAGACACTCACTATAAGTCTATAACTTCAACGCCGGCGGCGAACACCCTTTGTAAATCTCAACTAACTCTTCAACATCAAGGTCCGAAATCCAATTTCCCCCTTTTTCTATTTCCTCAATTTCTCATCTGGGTATCTCCGTTTTGCTCAAAGTTCTCTTCTTTTTTTGGATTCAGAACTGGTGGTGATACCCTTTTGCGTGAAGCAATGAGAGCAGGGAAAGGGAATCAGGAAGAGGACGAGTACGAGGAGGAAGATTTCGGTTCTTCCAAGAAACAAGCCTCTTCCTCTGTCCCTGACACCAACAAAGGTACCCTTATTTGTTTTTGTTTTTTTCTTTTGAAAACCATGTTTATATCTTGTTCTTACGTTGCTGTTAGATCCAATTATGGGGTGTTTCTTTGTATTGTACGAGGTTGTGTGAATGTTTTTTTTTTTTTTTTGGAATTTTTAATGTTTAGGATTGTATTGAATCTACTGATATATACGTCGCATTTTTCCCCCCCGGAAAATATCTTGAATTTGGTCAATTTAATTAATTGGGGTAACCTTTTTCTAGCATATGAAATGTGGGATTCATTGGTGATGTTAAGTTCAATTTCGAATAAATTTGGAGTTCTTATGTTGGGGTGCTGGTTGTTAAAGCAGATGCAAAGGCTATTGATAAGGCTAGTGCAATAAGATCGAAACATTCTGTAACTGAGCAGCGAAGGAGGAGCAAGATAAATGAGAGGTATGTGCAACAAAGGTTGACAAGACTAGTGCTGGAGTTCGTTTAGTGTTTTAGTGTAGGTTTTTTGAAAATAACTCATTGCTTATTATTGACACTGCATGATTTAAAATTGAATGCAATTGTTGATTCTCTGAAGCAAAATTCTTTTAATTTCATGGATGGTAGCTGTAAAAGTTGATAGATTTGTCAGCAACTTTATATTGCTTTGGATCTTTTCAGGTCATTGCCTTAGTTTATTTTTGTTTTAAGACATCATGCTGCAGAATTGGTTGTGAGCATTTTGGGAGCTTGTGTAGGTGTTTCTTCACATTTGGGATAAACTTAATATTAATGATTGTGAAGGTCACTTAAATAATGTCATGTGAGAGTGTAAAAGCATAAAAATCAATTTCTTGTAAGGCTTCTGTGTTATTTTTTCTTTTTCAGATTAAAACCTTTTAATATCAAAGTCTGAATTATTATATGTTATTATGTTGTAGTACATGAGAAGTTTAGGATTTTTTAGGTCCTTTTTTTTTTTTTTTTTTAAATAATCTTTTGGGAGCTTGAAATTTTAGTGCTTTCTGTTGAAGTTTTCATAATTTTCACTGATCTGGAGCTTTTCTTCAGATTCCAGATATTGAGGGATCTCATACCTCATAGTGATCAAAAGAGGGACACAGCATCATTCTTATTAGAGGTACATCTTGTAATGTGAAAAATAGTTATCCTTTTCTTGTTTAAATTGGTTGAGAATATATCTTCAAACCTTATGATTTATCTTGATTCTTTGCAGGTGATCGATTATGTTCAGTACTTACAGGAAAAGGTTCAAAAATATGAAGGCTCTTATCAAGGTTGGAGTCAAGAGCCCTCGAAGTTGATGCCATGGGTAAATTAGAAAAACCATAGTGTTTAAGGATCTTCTACTTTTGACTTTATGAAACGCTCTTATTGTATAATACTTGTTAGCTATAAACCAAAAAACAAAACACTTGTCTAGCATGCAAAAATGATGGCATGAAGTTTGGCTAACCCATTGTGTGCTCAGAATGTGAGCACCCAGATTAAGTGCCTGTTTGGATCCTCTTTTTTTTAAGCTACAAGCTACTTATAAGCATAAGCTAAGCCAAACAGGTTTTGAGAAAAGCTCTTATAACGAAAAGCTCTTATAACGAAAAGCTCTTTTTTTTTATAATGAAGAAAAAAGCTGAAAACTAAAAGCTCCTAGGAGGAGCTTTTTTTAAGCTCTTATTTGTTTTTCTTGAATTGTGTGCTTTTTTTTAAAATGAAGAGTGATAAAGATAGAAAGAGATAATTTTCTTGAAATATGTGCTTTTAAGTAATTTTTAAGCTAAAACTTTTATGTAATTTCTAAACAGCTTTTAGCTTATTTTTTTAAGCTCTTTTTTTTAGCTTTAGCTTATAAGTAGCTTCTAGCTTAAAAATAAGAGGATCCAAACAGGCTCTAAAATGAACAGAATAGGGAGTATTGAGTGAAATAGAAATTCATCATTGTTTTGCTTTTGGTACTGTTCATTGTATCTGTTTAACTGCTGTGTGGGTTTCTATTTATCACATAATATTTGCCAAATTGATCACAATTATTTGATTTATTATTTTTGTTGTAGTGATTTATCATGACAAGTTCCTCTTTTCAGTCTCTTAATTAAAGGATTCTAGTTTTTGTATATTTGTCATATTGTTTATTGATTGATTCCTTAGCAGGCTTTATTCTAACTAAAGGGGGCTTTTTTCTTTTTGCCATAAAATTTGTTTAATTCTGTTCCTTTTGGTTGAACTTAAGTACTTAACTTATGATGATGTGGAGTTAGTTTGCTGGTTAAAATTTTAATTGGTTTAGCTTGCTGACTTCCTGTAATGGTACAGAGAAATAGTCATTGGCGTGTCCAAAGCTTAGTTGGTCAACCTCAAGCTGTAAAAAATGGTTTGGGTCCAGGATCAGCTTTTCCTGGAAAGTTTGATGAAAGCAATGTTAGTATCTCTCCAACTATGCTTAGTGGCACCCAGAATATGATAGATCCTGATCAGAGCAGGGATATTGTCAGCAAAACAGCAGAGAGGAAACCTGATGTAGCAAGCAAGGAAATATCTCTGCCCATGGCTATGCATGCAAACATGTCTGTTCCTGTCAGAAGTGATGGTGTACTTGCCCATCCTCTTCAGGGAACTGTTTCTGATGCACAATCAACTGAATGCCCAACAACTAGTGAACCACAGAACCACCAGGACGAACTGACAATTGAAGGAGGGACAATTAGCATCTCGAGTGTCTACTCCCAAGGGTGGGTAATCACTATTTTTTCTTTCTTTTTTTATTTCTGTAAATATTTGTGATTGCATGGCTTGTTTGTTATAGATGTATGCTACACTCTTTTTTATTTCTAAACTTTCTTGTAATGGTTTTAAAAATAATCTGCTAGTCATTGTTTGAGTTATAATCTAATGCTTGTCAATATAACATGTTCATGAAGATCTCAATAATGCTTTGACATTAGACGAATTCAAGGTGACATGATATGTATGTTGATTTTTTTACGTCCCTTGTTTCATTTCATTCTCTAAAGTCGTGTACGATTATGGAGAAGAGAACCCAAGCTGGGGCCTTCTTCGTCCTGGTTAATGATCCTGAGTAAACAGTTGGAATTCTTGATTCTGATGTTATTACTTCTATTGATTCTTGGCTGATATCTATTTGGTCTGAATGTGCTAATTTATAGGAGTACCATTTTTTTAACCTCTAAATGCTTCCTCAAAATAGCTTAGATGGATTTCTATCTGCTAATGTCAATTAGAACGATGTTGTAGCTTTTGTTTAAGTCTCTTTGTCAGCTACAATCACAAGTATAAAAATAATTTGAACAACAGGTTGTTGAATAATTTAACTCAAGCCCTACAGAGTGCTGGTTTAGATCTGTCAGAGGCTAGCATATCTGTTCAGATTAATCTTGGGAAGCGAGCCAACAAAGGACCAAGCTGTGGGACCTCTTCTCCAAAGGTATTTTATGGCATATTATCTTCATTAATACTTGTGTGGTTGTGCCTTTTTACTAGCAAGATGTCTAAGACGAAGAAGAGTTTCATATACTATTAGTGTATATTAGATATGTTGTATAAAAAGTCAAGGACAGACGATGATGTTATTTTATACAACATATCTAATATACACTAATAGTATATGAAACTCTTCTTTATAGATTAATGAAGCTGATGGTTGATTTTTTTTTTTCCCCCATTAATTCTGCAGAGTCACGAAAACCCTCCATCTAGCAATCAAGCAATTGCACAATTTAGAGATGCAGGCAGCGGAGAAGACTCAGATCAAGCTCAAAAACGAGTGAAAACATACAAGTGATTCATGTGGCCTTTTTGTGGCTCCTCTTGCATCCGAATTTCTCACTCGTTCCAGATGCAGCATATCCCTTCTGGTTACTGTACATCCTTCGCCATTTATTTAGTGTTTTAATCCACTCATGAAGGTTATTTTAAACCTATAAAAACCTTATAACACATAATCATTTGTGGAGATGTTGAGGTTTCTGCTGTAGTAGGCATGTCATCTTCTATTCTGCTCGTATTGATACATATTATAATTATTCAGTGTTAGTTTGGGTGGCAATTTTATGATAAATACTTGGTCATTTTGAGTGCGTTTATATAGGCTTTGGAAAACAAATTTTATGTAGAGAAAAATGTGTGTCATTTTAAATAATACAAGTTGTGTTATTTTATAGACACAAAAAGATACGAGTTTCATTGAAAAAAATAAAATAAAAATAAAAATAAAGATGTAAGTGTCTATAAAATGACACAATTTATATTATTTAAAATTGAGGTAGGATTCTTTGACACTAGTGTCAAATTTGAAATTTGACATCTCATATGAGAGCTATTAGATCAAAAAAAATCAATGGTTCTGATTTGTAAGCATGTGACACCATTGATCTTTTTTGATTTAATGGCTAAGTGTCAAATTTTATAGATCCTCCCTCGTTAAAATTATATAAGCTTTTCTCAAGTAAGCATATAAAGGAACCTGATATTGCAGCAGGGTTCATAAAAAGTTAATGAATCGGTCATGTGGCCTGTCCAATCAGAATTTGAGCAAATGAAAATATCCAACCACCAACCAATTATAGAAGAGAATCTTCTACAGGGTTAATTCTGGTACTCGATAAAACAAGACCGCTAGTTGTCTTTATATGCGCCTGCACAAATTGACTAAACTAATGATATGACAAATGATCCTTTTCTGGTTCATTAATACTCATTTTAAGATGGGAAATAATACTCTTATGCTACATAAGAATACATCATTTTTCTATACTAATTTGTTTTTCGTGCCAATTAATTTTTCTTTTCTTTTTTAATATAAAATATGGGACCCACATTTAACTTATCTCTACTTTTTTTATCTCCTACAATCCTACAACATAAGAAAATTTAAACCCTTTTAAGATATATATATATATATATATATATATATATATATGATAAATTATAAATTTTATGTTAAATATTAACAAAAGTCCATTATAACAGTTATAGAGTCATGAAAATTATAATCTGATTGATGAACATTATAGATCTATAAAAATTATTGACTTTATTGCTTGATGTATAATTTTTATGAGATAAGATATTGTTACTGTCAATTAGTATCATTATTAGTTTGTTTTACCGTTAGATCGATTATGTTGATCCAACAGTTCTGATTTAACTTCTTAAAAACTTTATTTCTTCTCTCTATATTTAATATTTTATATTTATTTTCACCTTTGTAAGATTATGATTCTTCATATTTAATGCTTTCACATTAAATATGGGGAATTCATAACCATACAAAAAGTGGAAATAAATATAACTCTTGGATTAACATATTCGATCTAACGGTGAAACAAACTGGTAGTGACATTGATAGTAACACTAATTGGTAGTAACAATATCTTATCTCAATTTTCATTATTAAATTTATAATTTAAAATAAATAAATGTTCTGGCTCATAAGGTTTTTTAAAAGGCCATTTAAGTTTAGGTCTTTTTTAATAGTTTCTTTGAGGTTTGATAATACTAATTGAGTAGCTAGCTGCAACAATTATGAGGAGCTGTTTGAAGATTGTTGGTCCATTTGTGGCAAACATTCCTCTGGATTGGAATAGAAGTAATCTTCTAGCATTGGTTTTCTAGGAAAAACTGATCTTGTAATTGGGCCTCCTCTTCTAGCATGAACTGCCTTAACAACTTGAGAAAATTCATCCCAGCTCAGTTTCCCATTCCTATACCGATCAATTAGACGCACAAGAACAAATCTGTTTGGAATAATAGTGGTTTTGAACCCCAGGTATCTGCAGAATAACTTGCATTATATCAATCTGGATGAAGAAATACTTATACCATGATCACAATTTCATTAGAAATTTGCAATGGGATGTTACCTTCTGTGGCCTTCAACAACTTTAGCCATGTTGCCATTGTATGTAGGCACAAAAATTTCACTTTCTAAGGAGACAATGTAATCCAATGCTGCCATCTTATTTGAATGGTTCTGGAAAGGCTCAAGGTCTGAGGGTGCTAATAATGTTTCCTTTTTCACCTGTTTCGTATGAAAAGCATGAAAAAAAGAAGAAAAAATTAACAAGAAAAAGCAAAGTATATTATCAAAGCATAGTATACCAATTCCAAATGTTATTGTCTGCACTGTTGGGTATGGCTCATACTATTGTGGGCTTCTGTTTTATTGTAATTTTCTTAACAGTTTAGGCAAGTCCATGAATAGCTACTGTTAGGGTTTTCTAATCCTAATTATATTTTCCTTGTAAACCGAGTGACTTGTAACGAGTGGCGGTGAGATGAATTTAGCACAGACAAGCTAGACGTAGCCTAAATTGGGTGAACCAGGGTAAATCGCTGTGTCTATTCTCTTTTTTTTTTTTTTTCCGTTATCGATTTGTGTGTTGTCGATTTCCAACATGGACAAGATGAAAGTGTATGATTTACCAAATTCGGGAAAGCTTTTCTCAGAGGTTCCATTCTCCTTTCTGCTCCATATATATCTCCAGCAGCAATATAAATTTGCATTTCAGGATCAATGTCTAAAGCCTTCAATGTCAGAGCAGTTTCCTCAGGGGTTAAAGGGCATAAACCAAGCATTCTATTCTTTTCGGAGTCTATTTCCTTCACTCCCCACCATGGGTATGCATACCTGAATTTTTAATATTTTGTAAAAACTCAGAAAAACATATTAAAGTTCCTGATTATCGAATCATTGTTTCTTAAGTTTACACTCAACCTCATTTTGGTTAATTCTTCCATTTCTGTCTCATTGCAACCTTCATAGCAACCAGTGAATGCCAACATGTCCTTTTCGTATCTTAGGTGAAGAACTAAGAAAGGACCTTTTTGCTTCAGAATTTTCACAATCTTCTTCCCAACTTGTTCTATTTGTGGAGTGAACCTCATAGCTTTGTAATTCACACGGCACCGCAGTTTTTGAACCTCCTCAGGAATGCCATTATTGGAAATCCTGGCATCAGTTTTGGTAAAATGTAATACATGATGCTTTTTTATTTGAGGAAGAACCTGCATTATGTATACAAGAAGCACATAAAAATGTTATGTTCAAACAAGATTTCTGTTTCCATAAATGAACCTTCAGTCAGTAAGATCAGACATCAGATAAACTTACAATATGATAATAATATGACATTTTAGACCAACTAACAGGTATCATGGAATATAGGTATCCTGTATCCACCCTATTCTTCACTTCTAGAGGTAGTTCCTTCAATATTTGAATCTCATCTCTCAAAGACTGAATGAAATAATCTACATCGAATATGTCTTCGAATTGACTACAAAACCATAGCAAGGAAATTTAAGCAGTAAGAAGCCATAAAACACCATTCAAGTGATTATAATATGCATAGAAACACAGATGAGTTTATCCATTATGAGTGCACCTTCGGTCATTCCAAAAGGAGGTATTATCCAACTCTGGAACTATAAGTGTCACATTTAAATATGTAGCAATGGCAACCATGTCACTTATCTGCAGCACATATATCCTTGATCATGGATAAAAATGACTATGTAAAACACATATGGTGAAAGAGGTTAAAGGGGGTTGTGAAATTTTGTTAAGGATACTTACACCTGCTCGCATTTGGTTCAATCCTCCATTGGTTGAGACCATCAAATAACCATTGTTCTCATAAAGCCCTGAACACCAATATATTGCACAATACACAAAAAATCAGCCGGCTACTGTTTATAAGCAGTATTGACGGAATTAAACAAGCATATATATGGTGCACTTACTTTCTGGAGGACCAAATAGGCCAAGAGAAGAAAAGTGCAAAGTAAAAAGCCTTGGCCTCACTGTTTCACTAAATGTTGTGAACTGTAACAAAAGGGCACTCATCATCAACATGGTAGTGGCTGCAAGTGCCCGAAAGTTGAACCGAGTCAGGGGAGACAAGGAACTTGTTGAACTTTTTGGATTTTCGGCTCTAATCCATTCAAATATCAAGCTTTTGAGCTTCTCAGCTTTAAACCCTCCAGTTTTGATAACCCCATCATCTTGACTTTTGTTCATGACTTCTGCATATTGAGGCTCTCCAAGACCAACCTTGATTTTGCCCATCTTGAAAATTCCCCTCCCTAGATTTATACGTTAACTTTATAATAATCAACGATCAATACTTGAATTAAAATACAAAATTTACTTAAGACGATGCATGTAGTTTCTTTGCATTTGATCTTGAACTAGTTAGCCTCTTGATAGCACCTCACCAGTTTTTTGAGTTTTATATGTGAAAGCTGGTTTTAGGGGCTACGAAAATTCATAGTTGTGTCCATTCTTTCCAGCTTTAAGAAGAACACACCACAATTTAAACATATTTAGCATAGTCTCTGTCTGTTTATTTAATAGTAGATTGGTTCAATTCAATTGAGATTCACATGAATGTCATTTTATGTTATTTCCTTCCAGATGCATCTACACTCCATGAATAACATTTTTCTATTTCATATAGAGATACTAGTTATGATTCAAATTGACACAATTTAGAGTACACTATCGCGTTATTAACACAATCTTATGAAGTACTTTTTTTTTTGTTAAAAATCTTTTGAAGTACTTAATCAAGACATGATATATGTTTTCATTGTTTTCTAAATGACAACAAAAATATTAAAAAAAAAAATCATGTGCAAATAAATGAATTAAGGGTCCCAATCCCTCCTATTATGGTAACATCATGCAATTAAACTGCACTCAATTATGTGATGTAATTAAATAATTAAAAGAAAATGAAAGTTTGGAAGTCAATTACATTACTGTAAAGAGATTAACGGCAGATTAATTTAAATGAATTGACTCGTGGATTTGTGCAATTCAAAATATCGTCATCCCGAATTCCCAATACCTTAATTATTTGAGCTGCTATGTATCTATCACTAGTTCACTATTAGAAAAGTAATTTTTTCGATGGAAAAATTTCTGAAAATTTCATCGAAAATGAGATGAAATTATCGACGAAATTCAGGTCGTCGAATTTCTCTTCATTGATAATAATATTTTCGACGGAATTAGAGATTCCATCGAAAGTTTGATTATTCCGTCGAAAAATAAAA